TAGTCTGATTCACTGTTTTCCTCCATACTATAAATTATTAAAAAGTGCTCTGGTGATGTAGTCTACAGCATGTTGTGCTTTAACCAAAAAAAGCTGAAGTCTCTAGTAGTTCAAATCCAACAGCAGTTATCTGGGAGAAAGATAGACATCCTCCTCCCATTAAGATTTTTAATCTTAGAAAAATCAATGGAGGAAGGGCTCAATGAGTCAGAACTGATTCAATGGAAGGGGTTTTTTTTCTTTTCGAAGTTACAAAGTGATTATTCTCTTATCACTGATTATTACAAGTGCTTACAAATTTTCTTTTTATGTGATAAAATAGTAAATCTTTTAATTAGGAACATACAATTCCATAATTCTCATAAACACACAAACATATGGACATTTACAACAAATATTTCACTAAAGAAATCTGAGGAACCACTGGGGGGGGGGGGGGGAATCCCCCAACTGCTCTTGGGATGATTAAAATTCTAACTTACACAGCTCAACTCTGGCCAAATAAAAAAGTAGACTTTACGGTTTTATCATCTAAAAGGATAATTACTCAAACAGAAATAAAATTACATGAACAAAACTAGTAAATAACCTTAATTATTTTAAACGAGCACTCACTTTCCCAAAAGGTTGATGTTATCGTTCAAAATGGAATCCATCATGCTCACAGGATCTTCTGAGGTCAGGCTGGATGAACCATTGAGCTGCACAGCACTAGACATGAGCGGGCTACTGCCATCACTGGCTGAACTGAGGGAGTCTCTGGCTGGTTCGCAAGGATCTCCACTTTGAATAACGGGTGCATAGTCATCCTCATTATCGTCTTCAACAATGACAATATCAGGGTACTGGCTACAGCTATCAATCAATGATATAAGAAAGAAATGACAACGGTATTTTCAGAAAAATTCAACGAATTCATTCTAGCAATCCAGTCTTCGGAAAACTGTCTCATTAATAATTTTTCTCTCTTTTTATGGAGATAACTTACTCTTAAATACTGATTCTTCATAGGATATAAGGAGCAACAACAAAAAAGTGTTTAACACCAAGATAGAAATTTAATTCTCCTTACTTTTTCATTGCAGTGTCTTGTTTTGGTTAAACAGCTTAATTATTCAGTTTAATAACTCAATGCATTACATCTTAGTCTATCAAAGAATGCTGTTTTGAATGTCTCTCTTTGATATGAAAAGTGATTAATATTTTCATAAATTTTATCTCACAATTCTCTTACTTGGAAGGGTCGGATATAACATCTTCATTTGTTTCTGGAATAACTGGGATATTTTCTTCATCTGCATTATCATCAGTAACATCATATATAATGATGTCATCTGAAATCCGCTCTCTTGTTTTTAGACTTTCAGTCCTACTGTGTGGAACCTAAAACATTCAGGAGAAAAATTTATCAAAAAGTCTAAATCATATTGACTAACAATGTATCATTCAGAAAACAGTGAGCATCTACTATTTCTTAAATGTTGGGGATACAAGGATGAGCAGCACAACAGAAAAGTTCTTATGGGTCTTATACACTAACTGGTGCTAACTGTACCATTTCAGAGATGACAAAGTGCATTACGTGCTGAGCTGCTGCTCTTCATGAGAAAGAAGTGCAGTCTCCGCTGATAAAGATTTACAGTCTTAGAAACTGTATGGAAGGACTCTATGGGTGAGAATTGACTCAACAGCAATTTTGTTATTTTAGGAGCCACATTATCTGTATAGGCAACTACTCCTTTTACCATAAAGGATCTTGAAGATACAATGTGTCAAAATGTTTCTATAAAAAGATTTTTAAATTTAGGGCACTATTCATATCTAAAGGTCATAAAGCTTGAACAGAAATTTTAAGTGTAACTACATGGTTACTATGATGATACATTATTCTGTTCTGGGACATATTTTATTCAGATTCATTAAGTAGTCATGAATAGAAATGAAAGTTATTCTGCTTTAGCACGTATCTTATTCAGATTCAATAAACAAAGTCATTAATAGAAAAGAAACATTATTTCACAGTTGAATGTCAACAGTTTCCCCCCCTTTTTTTTGGAGGGGGAGCTCTGGTGGACTAGTGGCAAGAAGCTGCATTGCAGTCCTAAAGGCATGGGGTTCAAGGCCACAAGCTGTTGCTCTGCAGGAGAAAGATGGGCAATCTCTTCCTCTGCAATTAGCTGCCTCTTAAAAACCTGCTATAGGGTCAACTATGGGTCAGTTCCAACTCCATGGTACACAACAACAACAAAGATGTATTTGGGCTATATATATTATCAAAAGAGAGTTTTAATGACTCAGTAGTAATGAATCATGCTGCCAATCCAGAGTACACAGTTTGAATCCACCAGCTGCTCCACAGGAGAAAGTGGGGCGATCGACTGTGTGATACAGTGCCTCGGAAAACCCACAGGAGGGTCAGCTTTGAGTCAGTTCTGTCTAAACGGTACCACCACTACTACAGCATACTATTATAAAATATATTTTAATTCTCATAGGCAAAATAAGGTCATTACTATAATGAAAATATCTATAAATTTCAACTCTAGAGCCAAAAAGATAGGGGCTCCTTAAAAACCAGAAAATTCAGTTAAAAAATTTTCATCTATTCATGTTTAATCCTAAAAGCAAAACATTTAAGTATGTTTCATTACTGAGAAACAACTGTGGGTAGAGGAATTATATGTTTTATTAGGTTACATCCAGTACAACCAAGAGTGGAAATATAAAGTTTTAAAATAAATGAGCTAAATAATTAAGAAATAAAGATCAATGACAATGTAAAGGGGGGAGCCACTCTTTATTAAAGGTGTACAAACATTTATCATTTATACAAAGTTTAT